CCGCATCCGTCGCGAGCTGGATCAGCAGCAGCGCCGCATAAGGCAGCAGCAGCAGCAGCAGCAGCAGCAGGAAAGTGAAGACAGCGACGCGCCGCAAGCAGTGCAGGAGCTGCAGCAGGAGGTCGAATCTCAGCAGCAGCACATCCAGGTGCTGCTTCGTGCTGCTGCAGCTGTGCAGACCATCGTAGCTATGTTTTTAGTTCCATCTGCTGCTGCTGCTTCTGCTGCTGCTGCTGCTGCTGCTGCATATGTCTGTGCTCATATTTCTGCTGCGTGTGCTCCTCAGGATTTGTACGGCCAGCTGATGAAACTGCAGCAGGCGAATGGTGAGCTGCAGCAGCAGCTGTTGGATGCTCAGCAGCAGCAGCAAGACGACAAGAGCAAATCCCTGCAGCAGCAAGAGCAGCTGCAGCTGCTGCGACAGCAAGTGGAGCAGCAGCAGCAGCAGGCAGCACGAGAAATCGCGCGAGCGCAGCGCAGCTGCGAGAACCTGCAGCAGCAACAGCAGCAGCAGCAGGAGCAGTACGCTGCGGAGCTGCAGCAGCTGCAGCAGCGCTCTGAAGACCTCCAGCAGCAAAAGCAGCATCAAGAGCGTGAACGAGAGGCACTGATGATACAACTGCAGCGGCAGCAGCAGCAGCAGAAGCAGCACGAGGAGCAGTCGCTGCAGCAACGGCAGCAGCTTGAAGCAGAGCTGCAGCAGCAGGTATCTACAGCGCTGCAGCTGCAGCAGCAGCTCACCGAATTGCAGCAGCAGATGCGGGCTCTAGAGGAGCAACGCCTGCAGCAGCAGCAGCAGCAGCAGCAGCAACTCGCGAAGGACAAGGATGCAACTGAGCAGCAGCAGCTGCTGCAGCAGCACATGGGTGCTATACGTATGCATGCGGAGCGAACCCTTAGCTGCTGCGCGCTTCTAGATATTCAGCTCCAGCAGCTGCAGCAGCTGCAGCAGCAAGAAAAACAGCAGCAGCAACAGCAGCAGCAGCACCCAGGCGGCTCCTCCAGCTCAACCGCTCTAACTGTCCTCAA